CGCGAGTGCGTCGTCGGGAAACGGACAACCACGCAAGGGGACGAAAATACACGTATATATACACCCCTAGCCAGGTAGAGAGAGAGAAAGAAAGAGAGAGATAGAGAGAGATAGAGACAGAGAGAGAGAGAGAGCCAGGTCGATCGGGCCTGTCCGCAGGGAATAATCCCATCCGGCCGTCTGGAGCGATAACGGTGTACTGGCGACGGGTATAATAGGACGAGGAAAACAGTGAGTACCTGCGAAACGCAGCATCTTGCATGCCCCGAACTAATACGACTACGCGCTACTTCGACGCGAATCCTTGACCCGATTTACCCCTCGCGGTATTCTTGTACCCGTCTTCGAGTCTTCGCTTCCCCGTTCAATCTTCCCGTGCTCGATCGATCTGCTAAAGTGTCCGCGACACGGTGGAGGGACCAGCGACCGGATTCCCTTCTCCGCGGCGCAAAAATGATTCCCAACCAGAACCGCTCGCGGAACTGGCTCCCGACTGCTGTCCGATCAGCGTGCGCAGATAGCACCTCTGGCACGTCCGCCTGTTTTCTGCTCCGATATACCGTAGATCAGGGCTGGCTTCGCACAACAGGTACCTGAGCTATGGCTTTCGCAGCGGGGATTTCGGGGATAGAAATGGGATTGATCAAGATAGCTGCTCGGATTGAGGGCGGAGCGCTTGGGGCCTGCGTGTAGCTTGCTACGACACTGTCTAGGGTGTCTGCAACCCTGCTGATAGCTGAGGGTGTCAGAGCTGCTGGAGGTTACTGTGGATGTTTCCTTGGGATTTCGAGTGATTCGTTGCTTTCGCATGAACTGTTTGTCTAAGGTTGGAACGTTACGAAGTGTATGTTCAGTAGGTTCTAGGAATGTCGCTTATCGTGTGCGTCGCAGTGAGAGAGAGAGGGAGAGAGAGAGAGAGAGAGATTATGAGCGTGGGTTGTCTATGATAAAGTTAGATACGCAGTTTTCAAAGGGTATTCGATTGGCAATCAATCGACGCGATGCGAGGCAACGTTTCCAGCGTTCGCACGAGAGCGTTCAGGTGTCGGGCCTGGACGGTATCGACACTGCCTCCGCTACGCAGCGCGTTGCGATACGCAGGCTTACATAATCGCAATCAGCTGTGCGCGCACACGACAATCTACGCACCAGCCGGAGTTTGACAGCCGCGCTGCGTCGTATTTTCATCGCGACGCGGCCGTTTCCTCGATTCAGTGTGCTCTGTCGCAATCCCCCTATCTCGATTACGGGACTCATTGAGAAATCTCGATCGAACCGGCTCCGCGAACGAGGAGGAGATTTATCGCGGGCAGAACGATTTGTTCGTTGGCAATTATGGGTATTCAATCATTGCCACGGCTATTACGGTGACTCAGGATTCGGTCAGAGTCTGCTGTCACACTTCTTTGTGCAACTTGTTGCGAAGTTTAAGGCTCAGTGGAATGAGTCTGCCGTAGACAGACGTTGGAAAAGACAGGAATAAAGCAAGGAATATGGTCTGCCTGTTTTTATATTGAACCTTTCAGGATAATTGTACTGATATTAAACTCTGATATTTATAATCGAATGTTACAAATAACGCGAATATCCAAACGAAAGGTCGGAACTTCTGTATCGTTTGAGAGTTCGACGTGTAATTCAATTTTCCACGAAAGCGTTTAATATTCCGAAGTATCTTTCTCCGCGGAGGGTTGAACCGTTCGTTTGAAAGGCAGAATCGAAACAGAATGTGAAATCCATTGTTCGAATTGGACGGTCCGGGTAATGGATTATTGGTAATAAAGCGTTATCGACCGGCTATCTGGCGGTGCGCCATGGAAATCGTGTGTTTACGTAAACAGTGCGATCCATTGAGCGTCCGTGGGCTGATAAGATGCGCCGTAGTTCCGCGTCGCGTGAGTAATTTCGTTCGTAACGGAGGCCGGCCGAATGAATAATCGTTTCGCCTCGTTATTCGGACGAAAACTTTTCCTATCTACGTCTCCCGAGTCGAACGATAATAGCCGGCGAAGAAGGAAGCCCGAACAAAGAGCCACGGATTCGTGTGAATTGCGCCGTTCCTTGTCTGCGGCAAGGCCGACGCGATTCAGAGGAACTGTACTTCAACACGTCTCCTCGGACATAAGGAAGCGCGAAATTTATGCGGAATCAGGTGGCGTCTAGAATCGTGATTCCGGCCCGACAGCTTCGCAGCTCGAAATGGCTCGTGCATACGATTAAATTTAACTTTACGTAACGGCGGTTTTTCGAACAGTCCTCTTAGAAGTCGTCGCTTACCGTTTTCCGAATCGAATTTCAATTTGACGCGCTTCTTAGTGTTGCACGATGCGGGGATTTCTTTTGAAATTTCTCAGAAATGCGTCGGTTTGATCAGCTTGACTCGTCTGATAGGTCTAGTGTCGAGGGATTAGCAGATGAAGCTAAATTTACAACATTGCTCAAATGATAGAAGAAAAGGATACTACCTGCTGATCTCTTGGTGTTCGAGTAATTAAATCGTTTGTCTATTTAGTCTCCCAAATGTAAACATTTATAAACCTTCTGATGCGCTTCTTAGTGTTGCACGATGCAGGGATTTCTTTTCTCTCAGAAATGCATCGTTTTAATCAGCTTGACTCGTCTGATAGGTCTAGTGTCGAGGGATCAACCCTTTGTGGACGAAGATTCCCTGAACTATACAAAACTGTTTGTAGATTCTGCCAAATCACACATCGAATGCCTAAATAACATGGAGCAAGGAAATTATGTACTGGTTTCTTGCTGTTCGAGCAGTTGAATCATTTGCTTGCAACTTAGTATTACAAACATGAAAGTTTGATCTCGGTAAAGTGTCGACATTCGTCCGCGAAGGGTTAAATCAGATGTAACTATTGATTGTACATCAATTTCTTAAGTAATGGAAACACTGGCCTCTTGCTGTTCGAGTAATCAAATCATTCGTTCGCGACTTAGTCTTCTAAATACGAACATTTCATCAAAATATCGACGTTGTCCGTGGAAGGTTAATATTCATTGCAATGATACTCGCGAAAACGCGACCGATATAATTTACCAACGGAACAACTTCTCGTTGAACTGGACCAAATCGATTTTCCGTCGCCGGGCATCGCGATAAAGAACCACTTCGAGTCCAACGGTTGTAGATTTCGATGTAAGCTCCGCGATAGCTTAACGACAGTTTAAATCATTAACCGGAGGTATTGAACAGCTCCATTCCGAACACTCCGATGATCTCGAGTAAAAAACCTTGTTACGGTCTTTGAAAAACCTATTGTCTCTCTTTCGGAGTATTGGTACTCCGATTCATAGACTGATCAATAGACTTCCTGCAGCCGAAGTTCCCAAACTTCGTTAAATTTCCGCGCTGGCGTAACGCGAAATTCGCGGAGCCTGCCAATTGTTGCGCGTTACGTTATCGAGTGGATTAGATGAGTTTCGCAACGTCGGTGACGCAACGAAGTCAGGTGTTCGTTTCGAAAAATCGCCAGATACGATTGGAAACTCGGCGAAAGAGGTTCGTCGACGGGAAATTTTCGTACGGAACGTCGGCGTGGGGGTGAACGGTGAATCCTCGAAATCGCGCGAACGAGAATCGTCATAATGCCCAGGAATAATGGCTTCCGTTGCAGCAAGCCTCCGTTCGACGCCAAAAATACGCCGCAGTGTGATTAGAAAGCAAACAACGGGTACGCCGTCCATTGTCCTGAAACTGTTCGGAACGGCCGGCTGCCAGCTGTTTATTTTTAAATATTAGAAACGCATCTGCATCGGAATTCGACCGAGCGAAATTCCTCGAGTTCCTGATTCGAAGAAGCGATCGCGTGTATCGATTTCGTCGGCGTCGATGCTGGCGAATTTCCTAAAGGACCCGACAATTCGTTGCGATCTTCTGCGATCGGTGCACGGAATTGAAGAAGACGATTTCTCGGAACGAGCAATTGCTCCTTCTTCGCTCTCGAGCTCCGTAATGGAACGAGATTCGTCGCGGAACGAGAGAAACTGCTCTGTACGTGGGACCCGACTGATCTATGAATCATTTCGGGTTCACGTGTCAATCTTGATCACGCCTCCGGGGCGGTAGGAATTCCGCCTGATAGAACTAGGGGGAAATTGAATAATAGATAGCAGTTTGGAATTCAGGAGAGTGTACTGTAAAATTTCAGGGACGTACGATTTATTTAAAATCAAGAGCTGTGATAGGTGAAAATACGCGTTGTACGCCGGAGTTTATTAAACTGTTTATCTGAACCAATAGAATGAAAGAAGCTAAATAGTTTTAAACTATTTTTATTTTGAACCTAGTAGATTCTTCAGATATTCCATTCGATTGTGTGTATATATGAATAAGACAATAGTTTCTGAAAAATCCAGGTTCAAAATAAATCGAATTCCATGTTTCATTAACCAGCACTCCAGGTTGTTTTGTAATCTATCAGCAACTGCAACTAATTTTTATAGTATTCCTAAAATGAGACATGCTATAACATTTCTTCGATCTTTTATTTTACTTCTCAGTAGAAAATCTGGATGCGTGGAAAATAGAATAATTTTAAGTTTCTTTAAGATTAAAACATTTAATATTACAACTAGTGCAATATTGGAGCCTACAGAGTTCAAAGGGTTAAACATTCTAGATAACAAAACCTCAACGAACTGTGCACGTCATGAATTCAAAATTCCATAGCTTAATTTAAAATCCATATTCCACTAATCGCACCATTAATTAAATCATATACTTTTGTCTTCTATTATACATGAAAAATATCGATATCCAATTATCGAAATGATTATTTGGTAAAATCCTTTTCTTCCCAGCAACTCAACTGTTCCAAGTAAGTTTCGTCTACGCTCGCGACTCACGGGGAAACCTTTGGAAGTCGGCAGAGCCACGGTACCAGCGAGACGCGCGCTATGCACAGTGAACGGTGTCCGATGTATCTCTTGTCCGCTTTCACGCACACATCGATATAATTGCCGTGCACCGATGCGAGACACGCTCTTAAAAGCCGAGAAACGAACAAAGAGTACGCGCGCATACAAGCGTGCGCGCGCGGCGTTTCCCAATCCGCGTCCTTTACTTTCGATCGTTCGCCGTTCGCGGTTTCCGTTTCGTCGACGTGCCTCGCGAAAATCGTTCGACCGATCGGCCGGCGATGCGAATCCTTCTAGACCGTGGGACCTTTAACTCCTTGCACTCCGAGCGTTTCTCAAGCGAGAACTGGTTCTTCTTT